ACGAACCGTGTGAGGGGTGCGCCGAACTGGGCCCGAAGCCTTCGGTTGCGCCCCCTGTGGGGCCGCGAAAGCCTTCGGTTGCGCACCGTGTGGGGCCACGAACCGTGTGAGGGGTGCGCCGAAATGGACAGCGAAAGCCTTCGGTTGCGCCCCCTGTGGGGCCACGAACCGTGTGAGGGGTGCGCCGGAATGGGCCCGAAGCCTTCGGTTGCGCCCCCTGTGGGGCCACGAACGTGTGAGGGGTTGAGCCGAAATGGACCCGACGGCATTCGGTTTGCACCCTTGTGGGGCCGCGAAACCTTCGGTTGCCGCCCGTGTAGGAGGCCACGAACCGTGTGAGGGGTGCGCCGAAATGGGTACCCGAAAATCCTTCGGTTGCGCCCCCTGTGGGGCCACACGATAGACACGTCTCCTCCACCCGAAATGACACTTCGAGACCTCGTCGGCTGCGCCCCTGTGGGCCAACGAAAGCCTTCGGTGGACCTGTATGCGGCCACGGAAACGTGTGAGGGTGCGCCGAAATGGAGCCCGAAGGTCTTCGGCTGCGCCCCACCTTGTCGCGCGCCACGAACCGTGCCTAAGGGGTCGTCGGAAATGGAACCCGATGCCTCGGTTGCGCCCCGTGTGGGGCCACGAACCGTGTGAGGGGTGCGCCGAAATGAACCCGAGGGTTTCGGTTGCGCCCCCTGTGGGGCCCGAGGCCTTCGGTTCCGCCCCTTGTGCGGCCACGAACCGTTTGAGGGGTGCGCCGAAATGGGCCCGAGGCCTTCGGTTCCGCCCCTTGTGCGGCCACGAGCCGTTTGAGGGGCGCGCAAAAATCGACCCGAAGCCTTCGGTTGCGCCCTTTGTGGGGCGCCGAACCGTGTGAGGGGTGCGCCGAAATGGGTCCGAAGTCTTCGGTTGCGCCCCCTGTAAGGCCACGAACCGTGTGAGGGGCGCGCCGAAATGGACCCGAGTCCTTCGGTTGCGCCCCCTGCAAGGCCACGAACCGTGTGAGGGGTGCGCCGAAATGGGCCCGAGGCCTTCGGTTGCGCCCCCTGTGGAGCCACGAACCGTGTGAGGGGTGCACCGAAATGGGCCCCCCCCCTCCCCCCCCCTTCCGAGCTTCGGTTGCGCCCCCTGTGGGGCCGCGAAAAGCCATTCGGGCTGCGCCCCTTGTGGGGCCACGAACCGTGTGAGGGAAGTGATTGATATCAAGGAGGAAGAGGGACCGAGACCTATTCGGGGAGCGGGATTGTGGGGCCACGAAACCGTGTGAGGGGGTGCGCCTGAAAAGTGGACCGCCGAAAGCCTTCACGTGTTGCGCCCCTGTGGGCCGCGAAACTTCGGCTGCGGGGGGCCCCCTGTGGGCCACGAACCGTGTGAGGGGTGCCCGAAAATGGCCCGAAGCTTTCGGCTGCGCCCCCTGTGGGGCTGCGAAAAGCTTCGGCTGCGCCCCTTGTGGGGCCACGAACCGTGTGAGGGGTGCGCCGAAATGGACCCGAGACCTTCGGTTGCGCTCCGGGTAAGGCCACGAACCGTGTGAGGGGTGCGCCGAAATGGGCCCGAGGCCTTCGGTTGCCCCCCCTGTGGGGCAACGAAAGCCTTCGGTTGACGCCCCCGTGGAGGCTCACGAACCGTGTGAGGGGTGCGCCGAAAATTGGCCCCGAAGCTTCGGCTGCGCCCCCTGTTGGGCCGCGAAAAACCTTCGGCTGCCCCCCTGTGGGGCCACGAACCGTGTGAGGGGTGCCGCCGAAATGGACTACGAGACCTTCGCTTTGCCCCCCTGTTGGGGCCACAACCGGTGTGAGGGGTGTCGTGCGCCGAAATGCGGCACCGCGTCCTTCGGCTCCGCCCCCTGTGGGGCCACGAACCGTGTGTGGGGTGCGCCGAAATGGGCCCGAAACTTTCGGTTGCCCGTCCGGACCCCCCCCCGGTTGTTGTGAGTGTTGTGGGGGGGGGGGGGGGGTGTTGTGGGACACGGGTCGGGGCGCCCCGCCCTTACTAACAACAACAACAACAATAATAACAACAACAACAACAACAACAACAACAACAACAACAACAACAACAACAACAATGACAACAACAACAACAACAACAACAACAACAACAACAACAATGACAACAACAACAACAACAACAACAACAACAACAACAACAACAAAACAGGACTATGAAACCTGGGGCTGTCGATTCGGATGGCCTGTGGAGGGCCAGCTGCTGTGATGCCATGGTCCTCTGTGCTGGGCTACTCCCCCAGAGCGCAGTCACGCCGCGCTTCGCGCACGACTGGAAAAAGAAGAAACGGCATAAGCATAAACTGTTGGCGCTCCGTACGGAATTCTTGGATCTGCGCTGGACCCCCCATCCCCGGCGCGCTGAGCGCGCCAAGGGCGGCGCCGGAGGCGCCACCGGGGGGCCCAGCGCGGATCGAAGAAATCCGCGCGGAGCGCCAAAAGTTTATGCTTATGCCGTTTGTTCTTCGATTTACCTCGTTCATGCCAGCTTTCGGGGACGCACTGACCCGGGTCAATATAGACCCGGGTCAGTCGGGCCTTGCAGGATCCTGCAGGATCCTGCTGGGGATCCTGCCCCCGGACCTGGGACCTTGCAGCCCTGGCCCTGCAGGATCCTGCAACACACGGCGCTCTAGCTGACCCCCGTTTGCACTGACCCCCGTCTCTTGAGCCCCGAAGCTCACTACACCCGTGGTCCCGGGCTCAAGCGCCACCGCGCCTGCAGCGTCGCCACGACCCCCCCCCCCGCCCCGCGACCTGGAGGAGCAGGGGCCAGCGAGCACGGCAAGGCGCGCTCCCACCATCTACCCGCTGCCTACCCTGCCCTCTGCGGCTTGCGCCCGCTCTCCACTCTCCAATCTGTCCCCGCTCCCTGCTCTGCTCGCTGCTCCCTGTCCGTGCTCTGTGCTCCCTGTCCACTGCTCACGCCCCTACCGTATACTCCCGCTCGCTCCTCCGGTGCCAGCTGCCTGCTCGACTCGACATTCCACTCTCTACTCTTCTTGGTCCACCCGTTGCTCTCCATTCTACTTCCTCATCTCCCTTCGTCCGTACTAGTTTCCCCTCTACCCTCTAGTCTCTTCCGCAATAAATGCACTCTCTACTCCATGCTTCCCGCTCCGATCGACTCTCGACCCTATACTGTGCCATGGTACATGCATACATACATACATACATACATACATACATACATGCATGCATACAGACAGACAGACAGACAGACAGACAGACAGACAGACAGACAGACATTACATACATACATACATACATACATACATACATACATACATACATACATACATGCATGCATACATACATACATACAGACATACATGCACACCTACCTACCTACCTACCTACCTACATACATACATACATACATACAGACAGACATGCATACCTACATGCATACATACATACATACATACATACATACATACATACGTGCATACATACAGATCTACCTACCTACCTACATACCTACCTACATACATACATACATGTATGCATACATACATATCTACATACATACATATATACATGCATTCATGCATGCATGCACGCATACATACGTACATACATACATGCATGCATGCATGCATACAAACATACATGCATGCATGCAAACATACATACATGCATACATGCATGCATACATACATACATGCATGCATGCATACATCCATACACACATGCATGCATACATGCATACATACATAGATGCTTGCATACGTGCATGCATGCATGCATACATGCATGCATGCAAACGCATACATATATACATACATACATACATGCATGCATACATACATACATACATACATACATACATACATACATGCATGCATGCATACATACAGACAGACAGGCAGACAGGCAGGCAGGCAGGCAGACAGACAGACAGACATACATATGTACATACGGACAGACAGACAGACATACAGACAGACAGGCAGACAGAGAGACAGGCAGACTGACAAACAGACATACATACATTACATACATTCATGCACACCTACCGACCTGTCTACCTACCTACATACATACATACAGACAGACACACAGGCGTACAGACAGACAGACAGACAGACAGACAGACAGACAGACAGACAGACAGACAGACAGGCAAGCAGGCAGGCAGGCAGGCAGGCAGGCAGGCAGGCAGGCAGGCAGGCAGGCAGGCATGCATATATACATCTGTATATGTGTGTGTGTGCGTATTGCACATATTGCCCAAACAGTGATTGCACTCATGGGTTTTGACTTCTTTTCTGAGGATCTGGGCATGCGGGCCGCTCTGGCCGCCATGTGGCCGCCGTCGCCGCCTCGTCACCGCCCGTCACGGCCCGTCGCCTGGGCCTGTGGGCCGCTCTGGCCGCCATGTGGCCGCCGTCGCCGCCTCGTCGCCAGCGCCCGTCGCCTGGTCCTGCGGGCCGCTCTGGCAGCCATGTGGCTGCCGTCGCCACCTCGTCGCCGCCCGCCGCCTCGTCGCCGCCAGCTTTGCATTGCGTCAATTGCGTCGCACTGCTTGGCATTGCTTGGCATTGCTTGGCATTACATAGGCTGCCCCGAAGATGCCCCCAGGAGACCCCAAGAGGCGATAAAGATGCCCTGAGCGACTCCGGGAGGCATCCAAGAGACCTCTAGTACACTGAAGCTCCCCAGGGTATCCAAATGATATCACGCCCCCTCTGTAAGGGCAGCTCCCCTAGGCATTGTTCCTGGATGGGCTGGTGGAAATACGCGAAGCGTTAATTAGTAAGTGTTCAAACAAGTTGCAGGTGGAAGGGTGAGATGGTTGCACGAGCAGTGGGACATCAAGTCCGTTATATGATTAACTGCCCCATCTAGACTGCATCACACATACAGGGCAGTTTTTTTGTTTAATACATGCGATGTTTAAAGATATATGATTTTCATACATGATCAATGTATGGCTAAATTTATGCATGAACGAATCGTTGTTTGAATACTGAATCCCTGCATGTTTGATGTATGATCCGCACGCGGAGCATGTATTAAAAACGGCACCGTATTGTAGACCAGACACTGCAAGGCCAGATCACAAGAACCATAGCTTGGGGGGCCAAGCTGAAGCACATCGATTCGTCGCTGCGTGTTCTTTACCAGACTGGCTGGCTCCTGGGCCCTTGGCCCTGAGCCAGCTGACAATTTTTGGACGCCCGAAATGGGCACGGAAAGACTGGGCACAATGCCCAACAACAAGTGTTGTCCTAAACCAACAGCGGCCGCTGTTGGGCAGGCGGCCTCCTGCCTGGAATGGACACAGGCCGCGGCGGCGCGGACAGCGAGTCCTGTTCAAAATGAACAGGTACTGCTGCTGGGCATTGTACCCATTCTTTCCGTACCCATGTCGGGCTTCCAGATAATTGACCGGGAACGATGGGGAGGGGACTGGCTCAGGGGGGGAGGGGCGGGGGGCAGGGCGGGATCTTGGGGCTCGATGTGGGGGGAAATAAAAAAATCAAAACAAAACAAAAAAAAAAGAAGAACATAATAACATCAAAAAACTAAAAAAAAAAATATTAAACAAAAAATAAAATCGAACTGGAACCGTTGGCGATAGGCCCTCGTGGCACATCGAGCTGGAAACATCGAACTGGAAACATCGAGAGGCATCGGCGATAGGCCCTCGCTGGCGAAACCGTGCGCTCCTGGGCGGGGGGTGGGCCGCAAGGCCCCCCTGTCGGCGACGGATGCTGCACTGCCCCCCCCCCCCGAGCATACCCCTCCCCCCTCGCCGTTGCCTTATGGCGGGCCTGTCCCCCTCCAGGGGGATTTTCGACGAAAAATAAAACATACCCCAAAAATGATCAAAAAATAATCCAAACATAGTCTGGGGACAACTTTTTGCATATGTTGTAGCCTTTTTGCGGTATTTCTAGGGTATTCTGTATTTTTCGTCGAAAGTCCCCCTGTAGGGGGACACGCCCGACATAACCGTTGCCCCTGGCCAGCGTGGAAGAGCAAACAACGGCAAGAAACTCTTGGAGGTCCGCGCGGATTTCTCGGATCCGCGCTGAGTCCCCCTCCCCGGCGAGCAGAGCGCGAGCACGGGGCGGCGCCGCAGGAGGCGCCGCCAGGGGGCCCAGCGCAGATCCGAGACATTCTCGCGGAGCTCCGCAAGCTTCCGTTTTCACAGCGCTTCGGTTCTTCCTTCTTCGGGAGCGGTTGGAGTCCCGCTCCGAGCCGGCGCTCACTCCACGCCCCTCCGCAGCATCTGCGCCCAGCCTGAGCATCGTTGAACCGACCCCTATCCCCATGACATGGAACGTGGCCTGAGCTCCAATGGCCGATTGTCCCCCTAGCATGGGGATATAGGCCGCTCCCTTCGGGTTTCGAGGTGTGTCCCCAACTGGGGTGCAAGGATGCTGGGGGCCTGAATTTATGCTGCTCCCATCGTACGTAAGGACCACATCCCAGAAAAAACTTCGAGCACCTGGAAAAGTGTCGAAGCAGTGCCGAAACAGTGTTGAGCGAGTGTCTCCCAGGGCCCGACGCGTGAAAGCCCTCAAGTTTGGGTACTATCTTGGCGCTCGAGATTCTTTCTGGCGATCAAGGCTAAAGTAGGCTGGAACATCATAAGCCTTGACCCCCCCCAACCCCTTCCCCTGGAGCTGGACGCGGGGGGGCGCGACCGACGGGAACGTCAAAGACAGCCTCGGCGCGAAGGCACGAAGAGCATTGATTGTCGCTTCCTGGGGGGAAGCAAATTGAGCCCCCCATTCGAGGAGGAGGAGGAGGAGGAGGAGGAGGAGGAGGAGGGAAGGAGGGGGAGGGGGAGGAGGAGGAGGGGGAGCGAGGAGGATGAGGGAGGAGGCAGGAGGAGGAGGAGGAGGAGGAGGAGGAGGAGGAGGAGGGGAGAGGAGGAGGAGGAGGGGACAGGAGGAGACATGGATGTGGGCTGGGGCCTGGGAATCGGTTTCAACGAACCGAGGCACCGCCGCCTGCCGCGCGCCCGCACGCGCAGGGCCCCCGCGGCGACGAGCGCCGCCAGCGCCGCGGCGCCCGCCGCGGCCGCCCAGCCCCGCGTGGCGCCGCGGCCGGGCCGGAGGAGCGCCGCCGAGGCCGCCTCGGCGGCCTGGCGCGCGCGCCCGTGGAACTTCATCTGGACCTTGCGGTTTTTGGGACGCCGAAATGGGCACGGAAAGAATGAATTCTTAAAAATATTGGATTTTAATACATGATCAATGTATGAGTAAATGTATGCATGAACGCATCGTTGTTTTTAACACTCAATCCCTGCATGTTTTATGCACGATCCGCACGCGGAGCATGTATCAAAAACGGCACTGTATTGTAGACCAGATGCTGCACGGCCAGATCGCAAGAACCATAGTCTGGGGGGCCAAGCCGAAACACATCGATTCGTCGCTGCGTGTTCTTTACCAAGACTCTCCTGGGCCCTTGGCCCCGAGCCAGCTGATAACTTGTGGACGCCCGAAATGGGCACGGAAAGACAACAACAAATGTTGTCCCAAACCATCAGCGGCCGCTGTGGGGCAGGCGGTCCTCTGTCTCGCATGGGCACAGGCCGCGGCGGCGTGGACGGCGGATCCTGTTCAAAATGAGGAAGAACTGCTGTTGGGCATTGTACCCATTCTTTCCGTACCCATTGCGGGCGTCCAGAGGTTTGTAAACCCCGGTAGGGTCTGCATCTTTGCGGCGAACACGGGAGCCCTGGCAATCCGGGCGAGGCAGCTGAAAGGCCGATGTCTGGCGAAATTCCGCGGCGGCCGGGAGGACGGCCGAGGTTTGGGGCCGCGAGGATGGCCGAGGTGCGGGGCCGGGAGGATGGCCGAGCTGGTAACCTGCCATACGGTGCGCGACCGTCCCAGACCCCCCAGTGCTAACAACTTGCGGTGGCAACTCACCGTCGGCCACCGCAGATCGGCGCGGATCGGCGCTGCATCGGCGCCACATCGACGCCGCATCGACGCCGGTCGGCGCGAACCGACGCCGGGCCGGCGCTGCCTCATCGACTATGGGCGCCGATCGGCGCTTAATCGACGCGCCAAGGGCGGAATTCAGAGGGTACACCAGGGTCTCACGAGTTGACTTTGCCACCGGAGGACCTCCCCGGTGAGGTCATCGGTGGCGGCGTCCCTGCAGAGCTGCTCCAGCGACTCCTCTCGGCCACACGCAGGAGTGGCCCTGGCCAAGAGTGGCCCTTGGTGCGCGGCTTCAGCGAGGGGCGCGGGGGGGGGTTCAAATCCAAGCGCACAGTCTGCGGGTATCGCATGGCGCTCCGCGATCGGGGGCCCCCATGAAGCCCGCACCAGAGGTCACTCGGGCGAAGGGCCACTGTTACGAGGAGTCGGCTCCTCGCAGCCGGCCGCGGCGCAGCCGACGCTGTGCCACTCCGGCTTGTGGGCGGAGGCGCACTTGTGGCAGTAGCGCATGCCGCCTGCGCGCGCGCCCAAGGGAGGAGGGGGGGAAGGAGGGCAGGGGGGGAAAGAGGTGGAGAGAGGGAGGAAAAGGTCGGGGAGGAAGGAGGCAGGAGGGACGGGGGAAATGAAGGAAGGACGGCAGTAGTTGGGGAGGCGGAGGGCGCGGGGCAGGACGACGACCGGGACAGCGGCGGCAGCGACGACGACGACGACGACGACGACGACGACGAGGGCGGGAGGGAGAGGGTCAAGGAGGGAGGAGGGAGGAGGCAGGACGGAGGGAGGAGGGGGACGTCACGCGACTCCCTCTCTCACTCGCCAGGGCTGCCCACCATCTCTCCTCAGTCACAGAACACGGTTGAACAATCGAGTCGGTCGAACCGAACCCCGATCGGGGAGGATGAGGGAGGATCGACCCTGGCCTTCGCTTCCAAGCCATGCCAAACGCCCATTTTCCTTTGTACTCTCCCCTTGGCGGCCAGCCGATTGGCTGGTAGCGGTGACCGAGCTCTATCCACTGTGACGACGAGGAGCATCGCCCTCTGAATTTGAAATGCGTGATCCAGCCGCCCCGTCTGTCGTTTCTGTGCCAACACCTCTCACACTGGGGGAGTGAAAGGATGCTGGGCGACACGGAGCGGCTGCGTGAGGGCTGCCGCGCAGGAGGGCCCGAGGAGGAGGAGGAGGAGGAGGAGGAGGAGGAGGAGGAGGAGGAGGAGGAGTAGGAGCAGGAGGACGACGAGGAGGAGGAGGACGACGAGGAGCAGCAGGAGGAGGAGCAGGAGGAGGAGCAGGAGGAGGAGCAGGAGGAGGAGGAGGAGCAGGAGGAGGAGGAGGAGCAGGAGCAGGAGGAGGAGCAGGAGGAGCAGGAGGAGGAGGAGCCGGAGGGGGAGGAGAAGGATCCTGGTTAGAGTTCGGAGGAGTTCGACTCCCGACAGCCCCGTGGGGCAGACCAGCAAACCACACGCAGGGTGCACAGCCCGTGGAGCGGCCAGACCCCGAGGTGCAGAGACCCCCCAACGGACAGGCCAGCGGCCAGGCGCACAAGTCGGACGCCAGCCACATGCCAGCCATGCAGCGAGACATCTTTGGAGAACTCTCCTCCCCCTCCCCCTTCCTCCTTCTCCCTCCTGCCTGTCTCCCCCCTCCCTCCTCCTCCTCCTCCCCTCTCCGCCTCCTCCTCCTTCCTCCTCCCTCCATTCCTGCTCGCTAATCTTACTCCTCCTCCTCGTCCTCCTCCTCCTCTCCTCCTTCCTCCTCCTCCCCTCTCCTCCTCAGCCCTCCTCATCCTCCTCCATCCCCTCCTCCTCCTCCTCTCCTCCTCCTCCTCCTTACCCTCCTACTCCTCCTCCTCCTCTCCGCCTATCTCCTCCTACTTCCTCCTCCTCATCCTCCTCCTCCTCCTCCTCCTCCTACTCCTCCTCCTCCTTTCTCCTCCTCTCCTCCTCCTCCTCCTCCTCCTTCCTCCTCCATTACCCTTCCTCCTACTCCTCCTCCTACTTCCTCCTCCTCTCCTCCTCCTCCTCCTCCTCCTCCTCATCTCCATCCTCCTCCTCATCCTCCTCCTCCTCCTCCTCATATTCCTCCTCCTCCTCAAGATTCCTCCTCCTCCCTCATCCTCCTCTATATTCCTCATCCTCCTCTTCCTCCTCCTCCTCCTCCCCCTCCTCCTCCTCCTCCTCCTCCAGCTGCCAGACAGCCCCTGGCCCCAAGGCCAGCCCACGACCTCTCACGACATCGGGAGCGCCCCAGATCGGCGGCACAGGATGGGGGCCTCTAAAATCCGCCGACCCTGTCGGCGTGTGACAGAGGCTGTTCCGTCGCCATCGCCGTCGCTGTCGCCGTCGAGTCGCCGCCGCCATCACGCCCCCTCCTTCCCCCGAGTCCGTCGCCGCTCCCCCCCGTTCCTTGGGCCCTCGTCCTCAAGCACGCCAGCCAAAGCGAAATACACCAGCCCATCCACAGCGAAATTAAGCAACGTTGTCATTGAGTCGAAAGGATGCCCCTTCCCTTTGATCCCTTCCCCGCGGAGGGGGGGGGTCCCAGGGGGGGGGTCCTGGGGGGGTCCCGAGGTGTGGTCCCAGGTCTGAATTCCACCCTCCCGGGGCCCATGGCCCACCCTCTCCCTCTCATTTCCGTCGAGGGCCGAGGCCTCCAGGGTCGGCGGCACCGGCCGTAAGGCCTTAGCAATCATATCCCATTGTCTCAACAACTACACGGACTGCTTGCGCATGGTTTTGATCAAGTGGCTCTTGCTGCAGCGCCGCAGACTCTCGTCTGAAACGTGTCCAGCCGCTACATGGAGGGAGAGCGTATCATTGTCACAGCATGCGGCCGCTCTCCATCCGTGTCGCGGCTGGACTTCAGCCCAGATTCGATGAGCAGAAGTTGGGGTGCGTCCAACATTCACACGGCTGGAGGGCGGCTCCCATTCAAAATCGGGACATCGCTCGAGATTGCCACTGATGCGATGACCAAAAGAAGATTCGCAATCGCACAACACGTGCGTACACGGATGGAGGCTGGCGCATGCCGAAACCGGGGCGATCGCCTGCATGACAGGCCCACGTGGCGCTCGTCAGGCAACGGGGCGCTTCCAGCAGTGAAGAGACGCACGAGGAGGGGCCTTGGGACGAGGGGGTGCGTTGCAGTATCAATAATACATGTTGGGTTGACTCTGGTCCCTTTCCCTCCTCCTCCTCCTCCTCCTCCTCCTTCTCCTCCTCCTCCTCCTCTTCCTCCTCCTCCTTCTCTTCCTCCTCCTCCTCCTCCTCCCCGACATCCGCTGATATGTGCTTCTCCTCCTCCTCCTCCTCCTCCTCCTCCTCCTCCTCCTCCTCCTCCTCCTCCTCCGCTTCCTCCTCCTCCCCGACATCCGCCGATATGTGCTTCTCAGTCCAAAGCGCAAAAGGTACCTGCCCTTTCCCCAGGGCAATTCTTCACCCTGGATCAACGTTTGATTGTCCCTGGGCTTGACAACGAGTCCCAGAGGCCGAAACAAATGAACAACGACCGGACTGAAACAATGATATCGTCGGAGATCTGGGCTCCCTCCTCCTGGCAAGTTTTGTCTCCGCCCCGGAGGTCCCCGGAGAGCCCCAGAGGTCCCCAGATGCCCCCGCGCCCGAAAGGAGCCGAAAACATCGAAAGTCCATCCGAAAACATTCGAGATCCGTCCTCATCCTCGAGGAGGGCCGGGCAGCAACACTGAGCACCTCCTCCCTCCGCCTCCC